AATTAGAGTCTTCAATCTTTTTTAAGGAAGTTTTCAAATGCTAGTATTAATTTAGTCCCCCTCGTGAATGTTTTCTAACGAGTTTATGTCCGTTTTGAAATAGGGGAGACCAGAACTGGGCAAAATTAGGTGAGGGCCTTACTAATGATGTAAAAAGCTCCCAGTATGACCTCTGGGATTCTTTTGCTTACCTTCTTGTTTAAAAACCCCAAAAAACTTTTTCCCTTTATTCGTACGCTAGGCATTGCTGTCTTGGTTTGAAGGTTTGGTTTCACTAACCCCCCAAGCCCTTTTCGCAAATCTGTTGGTAAGTTTTTCATCATTTAATTTATAAGTACTGGGGTTTTTTGGGGCACTCCAAGCTTCAGAACCTGATTTATCAAATTGAACTGCATCTGCCCTTTTCTGCCAAGAATGAGTTTTTTTAAATTTCCCCCTGAATTTCCCATAACTTACTTTTTGAATCAATTATCCCCCCTATCTTTGTGTCATCGGCGAATTTGCTCATATCATAGTAATTCCCTCATCAAGATCATTGATATATTTTAAACAAAAAGGGCCCCCAAGACTGACCCCTGGGGAAAAGCATTTGTTCGATCCCCATCGGTTTTAACCCCATTTTGGACACTTCTGCTTCCTGTCGTGAGCCATGATCGATCCACGAGAGACTTTTCCCCCCCAATGCCATGAGCTCCCACTTTCTTTAACAGTCTATGATGCGGAACCCCAAAAAAGCCAAAAAATTTTTTTTTAATAATTAGTATGTTGTATGTATGTATGTATGTTTTTGTTGTATGTATGAAATGTATGTATGTTTATGTTGGTATGTATGTAGGGTATTTTTAATTTTGATGTATGTATGTATGTATGTATGTATGAAATGATGTATGTATGTATGTATGTATGTATGTTGTATGTTTATTATGTATGTAGTATGTATGTAAGGGTATGATGTAATGTTTGTATGTTGTATGTATTTTATTTTTAAGTATGTTTTTGTATTATGTATGATGATGTATGTATGTATAAATGTATGTTGTATGTTGTAGATGATGTAATGAATGTATGTATTTTATTTTGTATGTTAATGTTGTTTTAGTTTTTTGTATGTATGAATTGATTATGTGTATGTATGTATGTAATTTAATGATGTTTTATATGTATGTTTTGTTGTATGTATGTATGTTTGTATGTATGATGTATGTATGTATGTATGTATGTATGCATGAAAATTTTAGGGTTATGTTTTTTTTTTTTAAAAAAATTGTAATGTATGTATGTATATATGAATTATATCCCCCCAAATGAATTATTTAAAAACCCCCCCCCCCCCAAAAAACACCAAAACCAAAAATGAATTACAAATTTTTAAACCCCCCCAAATGTAAAAAATGAATATAATTAAAAATATAAACCCCCAAAACCCATGATATAAATTAAAAATGCCCCCAAAAAATGAACTATAAATTCCAAAAAATGATCCCCAAAACCCCCATTCCACCCACACCTTAACCAAATACACCCCCCCCAACCCCCAAACCACCCCCCAAACCACCCCACCCCCACCCCCCCCTGCCCATACTACCACATTTCCCAACCAAAAAAATTTCACCACCCCACCACCCCCCCAACCCACTACTCCCAAATTACACCAAAATGTCCCCCACCCCACCACCAACCACCATGACCACTATACCACTTTAAACCACCACAATATAAAACCCCCCCCACCACCCCATGACCATACTCCCCCATTACCACCACAATGTCCCCACCCCCACCACACCCCCAGGGCCCACTACTACCACATTACCCCCCAAAATGATCACCCCAACCACCCCCACCCCATGCCTATCCACCTTACCACCAAAATGATCACCCCCACCCCCCACCATGCCCCACTACTCCCCTTTACCCCAAAATGATCCCCCCACCCCCCCCATGACCCTCTACCCAATTACCACCACAATGTCCCCACACCACCACCCCCATGACCAATTTACCCATTCCACCCAATGATCCCCCCCACCCCCCCACCATGACCACTACTACCCCTTCCCACCAAATGACACCCACCACCCCCACCACCATGACCACTACTCCCCCATTACCACCCCCAATGTCCCACCCACACCACCACCATGACCACTACTCCCCACCTTCCCACCCAATGATCCCCCCACCCACCACCACCTGACCACTATACCCCCTTTACCACCACAAGATCCCCCCACCACCCCCACCATGACCACTATACCCCCATTACCACCACAATGATACCCCCACCACCCCACCCCCATGACCACTACTACCCCATTACCCCACAATGATCACCCCCCAAACACCACCATGACCACTACTACCACATTCCACCACATGATCCCCACCACCACCACCACCACCTGACCCTACTACCCCTTTTACCACCCAATGATCACCACCACCCACCACCACCATGCCACTACTCCCCTTCCACCAAACATGATCACCCCACCACCCCCCAACCATGGACCCTATACCCCCATTCCCACCACAATGATCACCCCACCCCACCACCACCATGACCACTATACCACCTTACACCACAATGATCACCCCACCCCCACCCCACCCCAGGGACCACTACTACCCCCATTACCCCACATTGTCACCACCACCACCCCCCCCCCCAAACCCCCCAAAATGCCACCCCCCACCCCAACCCCCACATTAAATTTCCACCACAAACCCCCCAAATGACCATACTCCACCATTCCCACCAATGTCACCACCCCCACACCCCCACCGGGGCACTCTCCCCCTTTACCCCCCAAAATGATCCCACCACCACCACCCCATGCCCATCAAACCCCCATTACCCACAATATTCCACCACCCCACCCCCCCCATGACATACTACCACCATTACCCCCCAAAATGATCCACCCCCACCACCATGACCACTACTACCCCATTCCACCACAATGATCCCCCCCCCACCACCCCCACCCCCATGCCCAATACTACCACCATTACCACCACAATGATCACCCCCCACCACCCCACCCCCAGACCATACTCCCACCATTCCCACCACAATGATCACCAACCCCCACCATCCCCACTACTACCCCATTACCACCAAAATGATCACACCACCACCCCCACCACCATGCCACTACTCCCCCATTACCCCAAAATGATCTCCAAACCACCACCCCACCCCATGCCACTATCCCACATCCACCAAAATATCTCCACCACCCCCCCCCCTGACCACTTACCCCTTACCACCAAATGATCTCCACCCCCACACCACCACATGCCACTACCCCATTACCCCACAATGATCCCCACCACCCCCACCACCACCATGACCCTACTACCCCCATTACCCCACAATGTCACCACCACCACCACACCCCCCCCAGACCACTACTACCCCCTTTCCCACCACAATGATCTCCACCCCCCCCCCCCACCCCCACCATCTGCCCCAACTCTCTCAAACAACCCTCCCCCACCCCTCCCACCCCCTTTGCCCAATCATCATCATCAACTTTCCCCTCACACCACCACCACCACCCCAACCCATCCCCACCACCACACCACCACCACCCCCCACCACCACCCCCCACCCCCCCCCCCACCACCACCCCCCCCACCACCACCCCCACCACCCCACCACCCCACCACCCCCATCACCACCCCATCGCCCCAACCATCACAAAAACCTCCCATCACCCCCACCCCCCCACCACCACCCCCACCACCACCCCCACCCACCACCCCCCACCACCCCCCACCACCCCCACCCCACATTTTGCTCCAACTCTCATCATAAACACTACCATCACACCACCACCACCACCACCACCCCCCCCCCCCCCCCCACCCCATCACCACCACCCCCCCCACCATCCCCACCCCCATCGCCCAACATCATCTCAAACACCTCCACCACCCCCCCTCCCCACCCCACCACCACCACCCCCCACACCCCACCACCACCACCCCCACACCCCCCCCCCACCCCCACCACCCCCAAATCACCCCCACACCACCACACCACCACACCCACCACCACCACACCCCCACCACCACCCACCACCCCCCCACCCCACACCACCCCACCACACCCACCACCACCACACCCCCACCCCCACCACCCACCCCCCCAAACCCCACCACCACCCCCACCCCCACACCACCCCCACCACCACCACAACACCACCACCACCTCCCACCACCCCCACCCACAATCACCACCACCATCGCTCCAACTCATCATCTCCCCCTACCTCACCACCCCCACCCACCACGCCACACCCCCATCACCCCCACCCCCACCACCCCACCCCACCCCCCCCCACCCCCCCCCATCACCACCACCCCTGCTCCAACTCATCATCTTCAACACTACCATCACCACCAAAACCACCACCACTACCCCATCATTACCCACATCCACAACCACCACCAATTCGCATATGTATATCTGAATACATTAATTAATAATAATATAAGACGGCAGGTGATACCTGGCTGACATTTTCCACCTCTACTGGATCAGTTATTTACAAGGCAGCAAAATCAGGGACAGAAGCTGGATCAAATGAATCCTTGTTTCTTATTTACCACGGCCGAGAGGCCGCCTTCAAACAGCTATATTTGTCAGCTCCTGTGACATGATGGGCATGGAACGTAGCAAGTGCAAAAACAAGATAGAATACTTCCTAAATTGCTGAGAGAATGTGAACTACCACATTATCATGATGGGTTAACAGACTGGATAACAAAGATAAGTGTATTCTGATTGTTAATAGATATTTGAAAGATATAACTATCCTGTGTTATCAAAAAACAGAAATTAAAAATAAAAAATCCTGTGGAGTAAAATATATAACAGGCATTGATTTCACATATCAGTGATGGTTAGTACCGTTGAATGTGCTTGTTTGCCATCCTAATGTTTGTTTTCTCCAACTTTAAAATTTTGAACATATAAAACTACAGTTTACCTTCCTGACAGCATGCATGAGCCTCCTGCAAGCACGCATGTTCCTCCTGTAGCAGTGAGGATGACAGAAGGTCTGGTGGGTGCAGGTCATGTTGTACAGCGATGACATTCGTACTATAACCTGAAAAAAAAATCCCCAAAAATGTACAACTGATCTCTTCTAAAAATTATAATTATGTTTATATATATATATATATATATATATATATATATATATATATATATATATATATATATATATATATATATATATATATATAACTTAAGAAATCGTAATGACACGATTGCAAATAAACCATACCCAGGCCGGGATTGAACCCGCGGTCATAGAGTCTCAAAACTCCAGCCCGTCGCGCTAGCCACTAGACCAGCTAGCCACAATAAGATTCATCCAACTAGGTATATTTCTACACCATAGGAAAGTTAGCACAGGCACCTCTGTGACCACAAATGCAAGTTTTTACAGATGAATCTCCAGCTAGCGTGGCCGTGACGAACTCTAGCTCAAGTTGGATGAATCTTATTGTGGCTAGCTGGTCTAGTGGCTAGCGCGACGGACTGGAGTTTTGAGACTCTATGACCGCGGGTTCAATCCCGGCCGGGGGTATGGTTTATTTGCAATCGTGTCGTTACGATTTCTTAAGTCATGTTTACGGCAGTGAAGGGACTTGAGCTAGAGTTCGTCACGGCCACGCTAGCTGGAGATTCGTCTGTAAAAACTTGCATTTGTGGTCACAGAGGTGCCTGTGCTAACCTTCCTATGGTGTAGAAATATACCTAGTTGGATGAATCTTATTGTGGCTAGCTGGTCTAGTGGCTAGCGCGACGGGCTGGAGTTTTGAGACTCTATGACCGCGGGTTCAATCCCGGCCGGGGGTATGGTTTATATATATATATATATATATTATTATTATGTATATATATATATATATATATATATATATAATATATATATATATATATATATATATATTTATATATATATATATGTATATATAATATAGAGGGTACCACCTCTAGAACTGTCCTGGGGACACTCATCCTCAGAGAAAAGAATAAACTTGCTTCAGGGAAAACTCAAGGTTCTCCCTGAAGCTGTTTGAAAATTTTCTCCTACCACCCACTATATATTCTACATATGCTTTATTTAAAAACAAGATACTTTGACAAAGATACAATATGGAGCAAAACACAGACAGCAACTCAGAGCTACATCTCGAATACTTCGTCCAGCTGCCTGGCAGTGGGCCGCGTGCCAGAAGGCTGCAGGCATTTCCTCTCTGGATCGCGACACTGAGACTCTGAAAGAGGAAGCTGGTCGCCCTGTGGTCCTTGGTTTCTGTGATGAGTTTTTCACCCAGTTCTTTGAGGAACTTCAGAGCACACTTGCCCCATGCTCCAAGGGTCTCCGACCCTATTGGGATGAAGTTATAGCAAGGCGGAAGGTCTTCATATTTGGGGGTCTTCTGGGTCTCCCTGTGGCTCGTAGCTCCACCCCCTTCTGCTATATATATAAATATATATATATATATATATATATATATATATATTATATATATATATATATATATATAATATATATATATATATATTATATATATATATATATATATATATATATGCAAAACAACCACTCTGAAAGAATAAGAAATTCCAAGCGCTTTCGTGACTACTCACATTATCAAGGAACTATCAATGTTTTTGAGAGCTTTACGAATTTGTAGTCCTGAGTTCATAGATGAGGAAATATCCAAAATTTATGAAATAGGTAATGATTTAAAATACCCAAGAAATGTAATTGATAAATCTTTTAAAGTTGCTAGAAATACTTTTTACAATCCAAAAAGGGACAACCAGCCTTATTCATATAAAAATATGTTGGTTCTCCCTTACCATGAAAACTTGGTTGATATGCCTTCTCTTCTTAAGACTTTTAATATTAAAGTTGTATTCAAAAATCTTGATACAGTAAAAAAACTTTTGATAAAGAATTCCCCCCAAAATGCTGATGGATGTGTCTATAAGATTCCTTGTAAAATTTGCGATAAAGTTTATTACGGTCAAACTGGTAAAAAATCTCGAACTAAGATTAAAACAACATAAATATAGCATTAGAACTGGACAAGATTCCAATGCTCTATTTATTCATGTAAGAGATTTTAACCATCCAATTGATTTTCAAAAAGTTGAGAAAGTAGTATCAAGCAAGTCCATGGTCGACAGGAATATAATTGAATCTTGTTTCATAAAAAGCAGTTTTGACAATAATATGAATATTTCCTTTGGTTTATATAAATTAGATCCATTTATAATTAATAGAATTTGGGAAGAATTTAATAATACACTGGACAAATAATCTTTAAAATTTCTTATTTCTTGGGTAGAATAGTTTGTGAGGTGAGTTGTGCCAAGGACCTATCCAAGTTGGGTCGGCGCGCGTCAGATGTTTAACCGTTGTGGGATCTGATAGTGAGGTGCCGGCCAGACCCCTTATATAGCTTCCTTGGATGCTTTACTTTCATAGTTCCTTGATAATGTGAGTAGTCACGAAAGCGCTTGGAATTTCTTATTCTTTCAGAGTGGTTGTTTTGCATATTCTGAAATCACCTGTTTACTGTGATCTTATTGCATATGTATATATATATATATATATATATATATATATATATTATATATATATATAATATATTATATATATATATATATATATATATATTATTCTGCCAAGATTTTCTTTTCGTATTTGATACTCTTTCTTGTAGCGGAAATATTTGCTTTGTTTTATTATTTCCTATATTGAATACATTAATTTGAAGGAATTTACAATTTTACTCATCATGAAGGCGGAATTTGAAAACTAATGGTTATAAAGTTCAAAAAAAAAAGCATTCTCTAAGTAAAATACATCAGCACTGAAAATAAAAACGAACGGACAAGGTATCGCAAGCCATCACATGACAGACAATGTTCAAATTTAATTTCTTCAATAAAACCGACAAATTGGAACCTGGACAGCCAAGGATCTATCTAAACCTTCTTCTAAGTAAGATTCACGAGCGTAAAGGTTTTGAAAGACTTCAGTAGCCCAAAATCAACGCATACCTTGCTCTGAACAATCAAACTAGTCCTGAAAGTCTGAGGCATTCTCCAGTAACCAATGGAGTCCAATAATTCAAAATTTTTTATCTATGTTTAAATGTCCATTTTGTACTTAGCTCAAGATCGACTCGAGTCTTCCTCTAAGTCAGACATTCCAGCGTTAAAAGTTTTAAGTCGAGAATTAGAGACTCATCAGTTTTTGCATGAGAATTCAAACGTCAGTTTAACACAGATGGCATTTTGAGAGTTTTCCACACCTTGTCGGTATCACAATACCATTTCTCAGTTACTCCATCCAGTTACATATCAACCATTCTTAAAGAACATAAGGAAGAAGGAACACTGAAGCAGGCATACTGGCAGGTCACACTCACTCATAAGGCAGGAACATTGCTGTAGATAAATGGTTCAGAGAACCTACCAGTTGATAAATTAGACACGTGTTATACTTCTGTATCTTTATTGATGACGTCACTGTGTGGTGAAACGTTTTCTCAGTAAAGATACCCAAGTGCGTGCACATATGTTTAACTTATTGGTTCTCTGAACCATATGTCTACATTCTTGTAGTCGTTCAAGACTGCTTTTTAAAACAGTTTGAAACAAAACTTACCAGAGGTAATAATCTGCTAGACCTGGTTTTGTCAAATAAGGAAACCCTCGCTAATAATCTGGTGATAAGTGAGCTGCTTGACGGAAGTGATCACAAACCTGTTACTGTTGATGCTTCACGCGAAGACAAAAATAAGGATAATGTGGTAAAACTAGTTTCTGCCGATTACAATGGCACGACGAACTGAATTCAAGGGTACTTAAGGAATGCTAAGGAGCCTATTTAACTCATCAATCCAAACTGGTGTTGTGCAGGAGATGTGGCAGATGGATAATGTAATTCCTATTTTTAAATTAGGGGATAAATCAATTCCATCAAATTTCCATCCAATAAGCCTGATGTCTATAGTTGGCAAATTATTAGAACAATTATAACTGATATTATTATTCAGATATTTAGGAGTGGACGTGTGAGCAGATGGGTCTATGAAAGATGAGGTGAATCATGAAAAAAAGGTGAGTAATGAACTTAGGAGACGGAACTTTGTCCATGAAAGAAAAGAAAGGAATGTATGAGAGAATAGTTAAACCAACACTCTCGTATGGGTGTTAAACATGGGTGGAAGCAGTGGAAATGTCGTGTCTGAGGGCAGTGTGTGTTGTGAATATAATGCTGAGAATTCGTAGTTTGGAAATTACTAGGAGGTGCGGGATTACGAAAACTATTATCCAGAGTGCTGAGGAGGGGTTGTTGAGGTGGCTCGGACATATAGAGAGGATGGAACAAAATAGAATGACTTGAAAAGTATATAAATCTGTACTGGAGGGAAGGCAGGGTAGGGGTCGGCATAGAAAAGGTTGGAGGGAGGAGGCAGAGGAGGTTTTGTGTGCATGGGCTTGGACTTCCAGCAAGCACAGGTGAGTATGTTAGATAGGAGTGAATGGAGACAAATTGTTTATAGGACTTGACATGCTGTTGGAATGTGAGCAAGGTAACATTTATGAGGGGATTAAGGAAAACCGACAGGCCGAACTTGAGTTCTGGAGATGAGAAGTACAGTGTCTGCACTCTGAAGGAAGGGTGTTAACATTGCAGTTTTACAACTGTGGTGTAAGCATGCCTCTGGCAAGACAGTGATGGAGTAAATGATGATGAAAGTTGTTTTCTTTTTCTGGCCACCCTACCTTGGTTTGAAACTGCCAATGTGTTAATAAAAAATAATTATTAAAAGTCAACTTAATAAGGGTAATTTGATAAATGAGTGTCAGCACGGATTCACTAAAGGTTGTTTCTGCGTGAAAAATTGACTAATATTCTTTAAAAAAGCTTTTAAGATAGTGGACAACAATAAAATATGTGATGTACTTTATTTAGTAATTCATAAACTAATGTTATGACAAGTGGCAGCTCTTGTTATAGAAGGTAAAGTTCCGTCATTGATATAGGCATGGCTTACCAATATAAGGCAGAGCGCTGGCATTAATAAGGTCAAGTCTGAATGGGGACCAGTCACTAGTGGCGTTCCACTAGTCACTGGTCCTCTTTATAATTTTCATTAATGCCCTGGATGAAGGAATAACGAGTGACATGAGTAAATTCGCTGATGATATACAAAAATCTGCCCAGTAACAGTATCTGAGGAGGACACCAATGAACCTCAGCAGGATTTACACAAATTAATGTCATGGTTTGAAAAGTGGCAGATGCAGTTCAATGTGAACAAGTGTAAAGTCCTAGTCCTTGTAACGAATATAACGCTCAGTTATAAACTAGGTGATGTAGAGCTTAATCATACATGGACTGATGAAGCCAATGTGTGGCAAAACGTTTCCTCGATAAAGATACCCAAGTGTTGCACATGTGTCTAATTATCAACTTATCGGTTCTCTGAACTGTTCATCTACCGAGTACACCTAACTTGGGTGTACTCGGTAGATGACCAGCCCAAACACCACCTCGCCTTCCATATTTGCTTCATATACTAGTGTTTTTGTTATGTATTTCTTGCAGTTGTTGAAGTCCCCAGTGTGTTGCAACTTTGTTTTAATAAGAAGCTTTAAGGTTGAAAATGTTATTTAACTATCGTCTCTCCTCTCATACCACTCGTGTATAGGATTATCTCATCGAAGAACAATTTAGTCTCACTATTTAACTCTATATATTTATTAAACCTGCGATCAGTGTTGTTATTCGGTCGTGGTGGCAGAGTCTGTGGATTCTCTTACCTCACTTGGACAACGATCATGGAGGTGATCTAAATAGCTATGATGACAGTAGCATCATATAGCGCTGGGTTATTACATTCAAATTTTAGAAGAATAGTGTTGATTTTCAGAAAATGTTACTCACATTTTAAAGTTTATTGGGGTATTCATCTGCCCATTTTAAATTAGTTATTAGTGAAATAAGTTATGAACATTTTCACTTTTTCTGAACATGTAAATTTTACACAAATAACCCGCACACAGGAGAGCGAAAAGCTTATGATGACATTTCTGTCCGACTTCGAACATTCACAAGTCACACTGGATATGCAAATTTTGCCAGTACAGTTGTAATGAACACTCCTGGAATGCCTACGCTGAATAACTGAACAAAGAGATTTTAGTACGACTTAATTGATCGTATGATTTTAGCACAAACTCATGCAGTCATTAACTATCAATTTCTTTAAACTTGATTCCTTATCTGTTGGTCAGGGCATTACTATCCAACTGAAGATGAGCCCCGTCCCTGAGGCTTGCCAGTGGCTAAGGCCGTTATCAGGGGAGATATCATCGAAGTGTGTAAGTGGATGATGGGCATAAACAAAGGTGATATTAATAATAAAAAAAGGCACAATACCGTGACTGGAGCGATACACAAATAACCCGCACATAAAAGAGAGAAGCTTACGACGACGTTTCGGTCCGACTTGGACCATTGACAAAGCCAATGGTGACTTTGTCAATGGTCCAAGTCGGACCGAAACGTCGTCGCAAGCTTCTCTCTTTTATGTGCGGGTTATTTGTGTAAGGTGATAGTAATAAAATACTGAGAATGTCAGACCAGGTAAGAACCACAAATAACGGATTTAAGTTGGATAAATTTAGATTTAGAAAGTATATAGGTATGTACTGGTTTTCGAACAGAGTTGTGGATGCATGGAACAAGCATCCGAGTAGGGTGATAGAGACTAGGACTTTGGGTAGCTTTGGGTAGTGGTGGTTTTGATAAGGACCTGCCTTGTGTGGGCCAGTAGACCTTCTGCACTGTTCCTCCATTCTTATGTTCTTATGTAACTTGGACATGCCTCGCATGGGCCAGTAGGCCTGCTGCATTGCTCATTCTTTCTGATGTTCTTATAATTTTCCAGAATATCATGTCTTTGTCACATTTGTTTATGGAGTTAGAAACATAAATATTTTCCAAAAAAATATATATAATTTATGTTATTAATAGGGTAATATTAATTGCATTATTCATTTACTATTGTTATAGTTAAGAGAAACACTAAACCCGTAGGGATTATAATGAGCCTGGAGAATGGTAAGCAAACAGTCTCGATACAAAGGAATGGTAGGAAATATCTAACTCCATGGATCAACAGTCTCCAGCCAACATGAAGGAGACTTCCCAGTGTGATTTATTATTTTAAATTATTCAAATTGTAATTGACAACATGGCTTGAGTAGTTTTATGATTATTGTTCATTACATACTGTCCTAATTACTACCAAATTACATTTTTAATGATACTGCTCCATAAAATTAAGAGGTATTAGAAGACTGCTATTTAAAATAAAACAACTCAAATTATTGCACAATGATAACGTAATATAATTTGCAGAATTACTTAACGTGCACAGTACATAAGTAATGAGAGACCTTGAGCCAAGGCATGGTAGACGTCAGGCTCTCCTCGTCAATGTCACCGTCACTAGGGCTCTCAGGCAGCTCCTCGTTGCTCAACACTCCTGGAGACTCTTCGCCGGATGCCTTAAAAAAACATGAAAGAGGCAGAAGACGAGCTAATAAAATATAATTTACATCAGTACCAGTCATGATTATTTTCACAGTAGCATGTCATGATGCATGATGTGATAAAGAGTTTACTTACAAGTTATTATTATTATTATTGTTATTATTATTATTATTGTTATTATTATTATTATTATTATTATTATTATTATTATTGTTATTATTATTATTATTATTATTGTTATTATTATTATTATTATTATTATTATTATTATTATTATTATTATTATTATTATTATTATTATTATTATTATTATTATCATCGTTGTTGTGGTTGTTATGCTGTAAGTAAAACGTTAAACTCAAGAAGTGGTTGGAACCTCCATCCTACCTTAACAAAGTCATGCTAATTTATGCTACTTAACCGGACTTCCCTAATTTCCAGTCACAGTACAAATATTTTATTAGGCAGGAAGATGGGGATTCACAGTATAAGATACATTTTATAGAAGTCTACAATACACACATCGTTTCTGGCAAGTCCAAAGCTAACATATATTTATATAAACTTACATAATAAAAGGTACAACATTAGTTTATATACAGATAATTATACAAAGTGCATGTGCCAATTATGTAAATAATATTAGATCTTATTAGGTAAGTATAAATAACACAGAAGTGAACAACATAAATTTTAGTAAAGTATTAAGAGCTGAAATATATTTAGCAAGATAAAGATACTTATATCCTTAATATGGGGTAATATAGTAAGCCAAATTAATACAAGTATAATCAATTTTTTATGGTATTTAGATAATGTACATATGTGCAGTACATAAATTACATGTGGATGATTTTTTACTCATAGTGCTACACCCGCATGGGTAGTTAAACTCAACGAGTGGTGGAAACTCGAACCTCTGTTTGGAAATCACCAGACAAACAGGCCTCTTAACTCTGGTAATGTTGTGCTCTACTATAAGTAAAATACAATTAACGAGTTAAAAAATTGAACTGTATAATAATGCATTGAATTATACTTAGTTTGCGGTTATAGTTAAAGAATATTTTGTTATGTATTAAAAGATATTTTAAAACTAGAAAACTCCCCAAGTTATAAGGAATAAATTAAGTTTGTAAATACTAAATATATATAAAATGAAAACCTATATGGAAACAGCATAAAAAATGTATGTTTTTTATCAGGTGACTTTGTGACAGGTGACTTGGACAGCTGTCATGTAAATGCTGTTATATTCAAGGTGATTTCAATGTTACACATCTAATGAGTGTGTATTTTGGATCCTGGGGATGCTGAGAGATTTCCCGCTTCCTATAAGTTTCAAATGTACAAATTCATCGTTAACAAGCATCATGCAGACTGTATCTCTCCCAGATATGAAGGGAATAAGTATTTGTTAGAAAATTTAGGGTCCCAGACTTGTCTTCTAAAACCGTTGCTATACCGACAAAGTGATTACTGAACACAATGAAGTTCTATGAACTTGCGAGGTTTGGTAGGTATTAGGTTTCTTAGGATACAGGCAAAGTGTTTCCTGACACGCGTCTTAGTCATATGATGACCCGCTGCTGAAGCTTTTGGTCATCTGACTGAGGCCTTCTGCGGGCTTACCAGTCCAACTCTTTAAAATTTATGGTTATTAATTGCGAGGTTTGCCAGACTATAAAGATGTATACGAAAGTGCAGTAGTATAATACAGTTTTCAACTAGAGATATAAAACATTAAATCAAGGACAAAATATAGAGCAAGAATTTCAAGCAATAACAATGAAATACATATTTTTTGTGTTATGAAGGTGGCGAATGTAATGCACACAGAGAAAAGTAAAGGATGAGAACTTTACCAGAGAATCAAGCGTATGTGTGGTACATCTGTGTGTGAGTCTGTGTAGGAGTACTGGATTCCTATTTGTGGGTTCTCAGCTACCGGTACATGTGTGTGTGTGTCTGTGTAAGAGTACTGGATTCCCATTTATGGGTTCTCAGTTACCGGTACATCTGTGTGTGAGTGTGTAGGAGTACTGGATTCCTATTTGTGGGTTCTCAGTTACCGGTACATCTGTGTGTGAGTCTGTGTAAGAGTACTGGATTCCCATTTATGGGTTCTCAGTTACCGGTACATCTGTGTGTGAGTGTGTAGGAGTACTGGATTCCTATTTGTGGGTTCTCAGTTACCGGTACATGTGTGTGTGTGTCTGTGTAAGAGTACTGGATTCCCATTTATGGGTTCTCAGTTACCGGTACATCTGTGTGTGAGTGTGTAGGAGTACTGGATTCCCATTTATGGGTTCTCAGTTACCGGTACATCTGTGTGTGAGTGTGTAGGAGTACTGGATTCCCATTTATGGGTTCTCAATTACCGGTACATTTGTGTGTGTCTGTGTAAGAGTACTGGATTCCCATTTGTGGGCTCTCAGTTACCGGTACATCTGTGTGTGTCTGTGTAAGAGTACTGGATTCCCATTTGTGGGTTCTCAGTTACCGGTACATCTGTGTGTGTCTGTGTAAGAGTACTGGATTCCCATTTATGGGTTCTCAGTTACCGGTACATCGACTAGGCCATGTAAATGATGATATTCCCATTTCATATACTGGAATTATGGATAGTAGATTGGATTATATGCACAAACCCAATGATGTATCGGCATTCCTATATAAAAGTTGGTTAAGCAAATAATTGAGACTTCTCACTTGAAGATCGTTTAAATACAACTTGGCCTCGTTGGAGCAGCCGATAACTCGCAGATGTGATGCCAGATGCGATCCCCAGTATTCCTTACGTTTTGGTAATTTCACGAAATGGTGAAATTCTTTTTTTTTGTTATATAAGTCTATGTATAGTTAAGACACAAGGCCAAGTAACTGGAGTACAAACCTCACAAACATAATTTATCGAGAAAAGTTAGTTACGTACAATTAGGCGACTACATGCACATAAAGGAGACTTGATACAGATAAAACAAGGGTGAAAATTTAACATAAGTTGGGAAAATAGAAATAAGTGACACATACCTCTTGCTCCAAGTGCTCAGAAGTATCAGACCGCTCACTGACAGCCGACACTTTCCTCCGCGACCTGACACTGTCAGACCTCTTGATGGCTGTGGAAAGATCAGCCCTCTTCTAAGAATCACTCATTTATTTTTAAATGATTCCTTACTATAATATCTTAGAAAATATAAAATTCTATCCATTATTATTCAGAACGAATTATAAAAAAAATCAGAGGAATGACAAGTTATCTCTTCCAGATACTTGCAGTCAGTGTCGGGTTCCTTGCTTCTTCTGCTAAGTTTAAATGATCGTCGCTTAAATGATGAATTGTGGCTTGCTCCCTTTTTGAGGAAGTGATGACTACGAGTGGACTGCACTGCCCGTCTACGTTCTTCTTCACAATATTGTCCGCTCTGCCAGTGTGTGCAAAGATCTTAGTTGTTTACTAAAATATGTAAGTTTGCCATCCATTATATAAGGTTTGCTGTCTTTAAATTTGTTTATTAAATGTGGAATTTTGTGGCTCAACCATATGATCACTTTCCAAAAAGATGATTTAAAATGATAAAGGAGATAAAACACACAACGTCAATGACATAGAGATGATTTCCTAAAGCACAGCAGAAAAAAATATATTATTTTCAGTATACGGACCTTTTCCCAGTAAGGTTTGGTGTCCCAAAGAACAAAACAGATTAACTGTTTCTCATTCGATAATTGTCTTGCCAGAAGTGAGCGAGCATCACAACTCAAATGATTCACTGAATCATAACATCCCCAACCATCCTTCTGAGTGCAGGAATTATATCTTTCACCTGCAGAATTCATATCCATCAACAACTGTCTCCTCTCACTATGATCTAATATGTTAGCACATCACTCGTGGATACTCTGGTCAGTGCTACTCGGAACTTCCTTTATTAACTCACCTCTTTCTCCAGCTCAGTTGGCCCAATTTGCTGGCTTGACATATTTCCACACTTAATGAGCCTCAACAACCTGTGGCAACGTCTCCAGCTGCTGTATATCTCACCCTACCTCCATTACATATCTTCATCCTCAAGCCTCTGTAGGTTAAGGGACTGAACACCTTCAATCATTGCTAAGAAGCTAAAGACTTTATAATTGCATCTCCGCCTATTTGACTGTCTCCAGCATTTAACTGAAGATGCCTCCTGTACAGAGGAAATGGTTCGCAATAAAGACACTCAAGTGTTGTACACCTGACTTATTCTTCGGCTTGATGAACCTGTATTCCATTAATATAGTGAAACCTGTATGGCATAGCAACACCATAGAATCACGAAACACAGAATGTGTCTTTCATCTTCACTGCTAAATGTTAGTGCAATTTATTGGCACGTCTTACATCTACTATATTATAAATGATAGTTGGCGTAATGATCACGGATTAATAGACAAAACGGAGATGATGAGAAGACTCCTGGATGTACATATCCTTAGGAGGGATAAGTGATATATCAGATCATTATTTAGTGGTAACTACAACGAGGGTAAGAGGAAACAAACCATGCCACGGGGGGGAGGGGGGTTAGAACCTGCGATCAGAGAGTCTCAAAACTCCAGACTGTCGCGTTAACCAATGGGCCAGCTAGCTACAATAAGATTCATCCATCTAGGTATATTTATACACCATGGGAAGGTTAGCATAGGCACCACTGTGACCATAAATGCAAGTTTTTACAGACGAATCTCCAGCTAGCGTGGCCTGACGACCTCTAGCACTGATCGCGGGTTCTAACCCTGCCCGTGGTATGGTTTGTTTGCAATCGCGTCATTACGATTTCGTGAGTCGGAGTAAGAGGAAGACTAGCTACAAGAAGAATTTCTTCAGTGGGTAAGATTGAGGTGAAAGTGAATAAATTAAGGGAGAGGATAGTTCTTGTAAGATATAAGCATGATGAGTTGGTGGAAGTATTATGGGATGGATTTAAGGATACAATGTTAGAGCGCGCAGCATTTTGTTGGACCAGAATCTGGTGAGTGCGTTTGGTAGAGGGACGAATGATATACTGAGGAGGTAAAAGACGGTGGCAAGAAAGAAACAAGATTACATTTGAGAAGAAATATATTGAGGTTGGAGTATATGGAAAGAAAAAAAAAAAGATGTTGACTGTTGAGGCGGGCACCGTGAACGTTATAATTTAATAGACGTTCATCACACACCCATTAACATTCCTTCTCTACCAGCCGACTGGTAATTAGGCTGGATTAGATTATTTAGGGGCCCCACTGATATGGCAGATTGTCCAGTGGAAATTAACGAGCTGGTTGAGAGCTTGCCCCAACGAAGGTGAGGTTATGCTTACCTACCTGGCTGGGTGGTAGATGCTCGTTAACGCTGGTTGTATGTACTCTTACTCATTGGCCTTGGTCTACCCTAAGGTGAAGAACCGGCTGTCGTGACTCGCTGTTCTTTTGTTCCTTATTACTACTCTACCGGAACTCTCCCCAGAAGACAGAAGAAGAAGATACTGATTATTTATTTCTATAAACACTGTAAATATCTTGGTGCAGGGAATATACGGGTAAAAAATATTATCTAGCGCTTGCCTTTGCCTTTAATTGCTTGGGTTGATCCAGACCTTGAGACTTTAGTTACAGTCAGGTACAAAAGACCTTTAAATTACATGCCTATGTTCGTAATAACGGTGAGGGTGACGGACTGAGAATTTATCTATTAATTCTGACGAAAATTATTAAAAAAATGGAAGAAGATTAATAAGTTATAGAGAACCTTGTGAGGAAATAGTTTTAACAGCTAAAAAAAAGGATATAAAATAAAATATAATAAGATTTTGTTAGGATATTTAATTCGAAGTGTTAGCAACCCAGTGTGACCAATGACAGCGAGTGCGTCATCGAGGACTCTCTTAATGCTATTGGGGTCCTTCAATCTTGCCCACCAGGATGCGACCCACACAATTCGTCTAATACCCAAGCACCTACTTGCTTGCTAGGTGAACAGGGAGAACAGAAGTAGGGAAACATACCCAATGTTTCCACCCGGGTGGGGATTAAACCACGGACACTCAATGTGTGTGGCGAGAGCGTTGCCTACCAGGCCACGGGACACCATGGATGGGGAGGTGGAAATTCTAGGAAAATGGAGGGAACGTGGTGAGTAGTTGTTAAGTGTCGATGAAGAGAGTGAGGGTAGGATGGGTAGGAAAATATAATATGTAAGTGAAGAAGCTGAGATGAGTGTGTGAGGCAGTGGCATCAGATGAGTGTGTGAGGCAGTGGCGTTAGATGAGTGTGTGAGGCAGTGGCATCAGATGAGTGTGTGAGCCAGTGGCGCTAGATGAGTGTGTGAGGCAATGGTGTTAGATGAGTGTGTGAGCCAGTGGCGCTAGATGAGTGTGTGAGGCAGTGGCATCAGATGAGTGTGTGAGCCAGTGGCGGTAGATGAGTGTGTGAAGCAATGGCATCAGATGAGTGTGTGAGGCAGTGGCATCAGATGAGTGTGTGAGGCAGTGGCATCAGATGAGTGTGTGAGGCAGTGGCATCAGATGAGTGTGTGAGGAAGTGGCATCAGATGAGTGTGTGAGGCAGTGGCATCAGATGAGTGTGTGAGCCAGTGGCGGTAGATGTGTGTGTGAGGCAGTGGCATCAGATGAGTGTGTGAGGCAGTGGCATCAGATGAGTGTGTGAGGCAGTGGCATCAGATGAGTGTGTGAGGCAGTGGCATCAGATGAGTGTGTGAGCCAGTGGCGGTAGATGAGTGTGTGAGGCAGTGGCATCAGATGAGTGTGTGAGGCAGTGGCATCAGATGAGTGTGTGAGGCAGTGGCATCAGATGAGTGTGTGAGGCAGTGGCATCAGATGAGTGTGTGAGCCAGTGGCGGTAGATGAGTGTGTGAGGCAGTGGCATCAGATGAGTGTGTGAGGCAGTGGCATCAGATGAGTGTGTGAGGCAGTGGCATCAGATGAGTGTGTGAGCCAGCGGCGGTAGATGAGTGTGTGAGGCAATGGCATCAGATGAGTGTGTGAGGCAGTGGCATCAGATGAGTGTGTGAGGCAGTGACATCAGATGAGTGTGTGAGGCAGAGGCATCAGATGAGTGTGTGAGCCAGTGGCGTTAGATGAGTGTGTGAGGCAGTGGCGGTAGATGAGTGTGTGAGGCAGTGGCATCAGATGAGTGTGTGAGCCAGTGGCGCTAGATGAGTGTGTGAGGCAGTGGCATCAGATGAGTGTGTGAGGCAGTGGCGTTAGATGAGTGTGTGAGGCAGTGGCGGTAGATGAGTGTGTGAGGCAGTGGCATCAGATGAGTGTGTGAGCCAGTGGCGCTAGATGAGTGTGTGAAGCAGTGGTGTTAGATGAGTGAGCCAGTGGCGCTAGATGAGTGTGTGAGGCAGTGGTGTTAGATGAGTGTGTGAGGCAGTGGCGTTAGATGAGTGTGTGAGGCAGTGGCATCGGATGACTATGAGGCAGAGGCATCAGTTGAGAGTGTGAGACCGTGGCGTCAGTGTGAGGCAGTGGCACTAGATGAGTGTGTGAGGCAGTGGCGTTAAGTGAGCATGTGAGTCTGTGGCGTCAGATGAGTGTGTGAGACAGTGGTGTTAGATGAGTGTGTGAGGCAGTGGCGTTAGATGACTGTGTGAGGCAGTGGTGTTAGATGAGTGTTTGAGACAGTGACGTCAGATGAATGTGTGAGGCAGTGGCGTTAGATGAGTGTGTGAGACAGTGACGTCAGATGAGTGTGTGAGGTAGTGGCGTTAGATGAGTGTGTGAGTCAGTGGCATCAGTTGAGTGTGTGAGGCAGTGGCGCCAGATGAGTGTGTGAGGCAGTGGCGTCAAGTGAGTGTGTGAGGCTGTGGCGTCAGATGAGTGTATGAGACAGGGGCATCAGTGATTGTGTGAGGCAGTGGAGCCAGTTGAGTGTGTGAGGTAGTGGCGTCAGGTGAGTGCGTGAGGCTGTGGCGTTAAATGAGTGCGTGAGGCAGTGGCAGCAGATGAGTGTGTGAGAACGTGGCGTCAGTGTGTGAGGCAGTGGCGCAAGATGAGTGTGTGAGGCAGTGGCGTAAGTGAGTGTGTGAGGCAGTGGAGCCAGTTGAGTGTGTGAGGCAGTGGCATCAGATGAGTGTGTGAGACCTTGGCGCCAGTGTGTGAGGCAGTGGCGCCAGATGAGTGTGTGAGGCAGTGGCGTCAAGTGAGTGTGTGAGGCTGTGGCGTCAGTTGAGTGTGTGAGGCAATGGCGTCAGATGAGTCTATGAGACAGTGGCGTCGGATGAGTGTGTGAGGCAGTGGCGTAAGTGAGTGTGTGAGGCAGTAGCGTCAGATAAGTGAGTGAGGCAGTAGCGTCAGATGAGTGTGTGAGGCAGTGGCGGAGATGAGTGTTGGGTGAGTGTGTGAGGCAGTGGTTTGAGATGAGTGTGGGAGACAGTGGCATCATTGAGTATGTGAGGCAGTGGCACCAGATGAGTGTGTGAGGTAGATGAGTCAGGTGAATGTGTGAGGCAAATGTATCCGGTGAGTGTGTGAGGCAATGAAATCAGGTGAGTGTTTGAGGCAATGGGGTCAGGTGAGTGTGTTAGGCAGTGGTATCAAGTGAGTGTGTGAGGCAGTGATATCAGGTGAGTGTGTGAGGCAGTGGTGTCAGGTGAGCGTGTTAGGCAGTGGCGTCAGGTGAGTGCGTGAGGCTGTGGCGTTAGATGAGTGTGTGAGGCAGTGGCATCAAATGAGTCTGTTAGGCAGTGGCATCAGATGAGTGTGTGAGACCGTGGCGTCAGTGTGTGTGAGGCAGTGGCGCCAGATGAGTGTGTGATGCAGTGGCGTCAAGTGAGTGTGTGAGGCTGTGGCGTCAGATGAGTGTGTGAGGCATTGGTGTCAGTGAGTGTGTGAGGCAGTTGCGCCATATGAGTGTGTGAGGCAGTAGCGCCAGATGAGTGAGTGAGGCAGTAGCGTCAGATGAGTGTGTGGTGCAGTGGCAGAGATGAGTGTTGGGGGAG